TTAGGAATAATAAACGATTTAACAAGCTGTATCCTTCCTAGAAGCTTAAGCCCTCTCCATTTCCACATATTTATTGTATTTTGATAGACTTTAAAACTGCTTCAAAGTTCGCTTTCATCCTCGATGAGACGTTAGTCAAAAACGATTCCCAGAATTTTAATTGAAGCTCGTACTTTCTGAACGTAATTGCTTTGATCAAGACGATGGCTACCAATTGCAAAAATATCAGTTTAATCTTTATTGACGTGGAGGTTCGAGAATCTAGAAAACGACTCCAGAGTCGCCACTAAACGGTGATATGACGTAGTATCTCTAAGTAGACAGGTCATGTCATCGGCAAAAAGGGTTAGTTTGATTTCTTCTTCCTTAACCAATATACGTTTAATTTCCTTGTCTTCACGAATTCGACAAGTAAGCAATTCAAGAGCAAGGATGAATGGTAAAGGGGACAAGGGGTCACCTTGCCTAACCCCGCATCTGACTGGGAATAGATCAGTGGTGAAACCATCGTTTAGAACACAGCTGGACACATTAGTATAAGACGCCTTGATTCACCGTAGAAAGTATCTCCCAAAATTATATTTTTTCAAGATATTAAGTAGGAGAGTATGATTTAAAGAGTCAAATGCTTTCTCGGAATCTACAACCAGAAGGATACCAGAACAATCTGTAAATTTGGAAAATTTATGTACATCTTCAACCGTTTGAACTCCGTCCACAATTGATCTCCCTTGAATAAAGCCATTCTGGTTAGGGTGGATCAAATAAGGTAGAATTTGTTCCAGCCTTTTTGCAATTACTTTGGATGCAATTTTAACATCGACCTCAATTGAAGAGATTGGTCTCCAATTCTTTATAAAACGTCTGTCTTTGTCTTTATTTTCTATCTGATGTATACCTTTTTGTGAGATAACACTGATTATCAACTTCCTCATATTTCTAGATGGTTTAACTTTGAAAAGGTCATTGAAGCTTTGGTAGCTAAGAATGTATACCACACGAATGCTGACCTTCTTCAAACCTATGCCAAGGATGTGTGTTTCATAGAAGACGATGAACAGTTTCACACTATGTTGAATTTCTATCAAGACCTTGGTATGATCGTGAGACACCGCAATACAGTCATTTTGAAGGCGCAGTGGTTAATTAGCCTATTCAAGAAACTTATAACCATTCCACCATTCAAAGAAGCGGTAGGAAAAGTTAATGAACTGTGCACCGAGTATATCAAATATTTTAGGATTTGTTACTTTTCTCCCACTTTCACATAACGAAAAAGGTGATGGTTGTTTCTTAGTTTGTCACATTGTTAACACCCTCTAAAACATGTTGAGTTTTTTCTGTAACTTGGACGTATTCCCTCCCCTCTTCTTTATTTCAACATTGCCTAATGTTAACAATATTGTTTAGGGGGGGAGAGGTGGGAGGGGGGTTAAGGGGGACATTCAAGTACATGTAACTAATTAGAGATGAGTTTCAATATTTTTTGTTATTATGTTAAGTGGAGGTTTGTTGTCCACCCACTATAAGAGACGTGCAAACTACTTTTTTGCCACTCATTGTAGCTTTAGTAATGGGGCAGAAGAAGATCGTTTTATGGGTCCACTGTAAAGTAAAAATAGAGCATTTTTCAAGAAAATGTTTTTGGTAAACTTATTTTGAATAGGGAATTTGTGGTTTTAGGATCCTGTGCATTCCAAGTACTGGCTTGAACTAGAGAAGAGTGGTGTCCTAAAGATGGAGCTTGTTGATCACGTTTTCTCCAGTCTTATTCAACAAGGCGTTGAAAAAGAAGACATCTTGGACATGATGGAGCAGTTTGGTTTAATTGCCAAATACTCACCATCCACGGATGACGCCAAGTACTTTGTCCCATGTCAACTGAGGTCCTCACCCAAAGAGCTTTATAACATAAAGCCATCTTCTACGGATCCCTGTCCTTTGTATCTTCGTTTCCAGGAAGGTTTTGTCCCGCATGGTCTCTTTACCCGCCTCGTCTCAAAATCAGTGTCCTGGTGTTCTGCCAATGGATCGTCACAAGAACCAAAACTCTACCAGAATGGTGCATGGTTCGTTCTTGAGGGAAGTGTTGTACATGATATGATTCTGATTTGCAAAAAGAGTTTCATAAAAATCCTCTTGAGACAAAGAATGAAAGATCAAGCAGTTCCACTGTCTCATTCAGCTTCAGCAGAAGTTGCTGGAAGTGTGCGATTGTTTATAGAGAATGTTTTAGAAAAGATGTCAGAGGAGTTCTCATACCTGAAGAGGCTACAGCATGAATTTTGTGTTGAGTGCCCCTACTGTCAGCAGGGAGGTCCCCATTGCGCAGACCACAACCAAGTTATCAGCACAGAAGATGACTGCTTACACCTGCTTCAATTAATTCAAGGACAGAATTTGATATGCATGGAAAGGATGTCCGAGAAAGTGCTTACAGTTCCTGGGCAAGAGAAATGGTTCTTAAACCAGGTTTGTAACATTTTATAGCAGTATCGCGCATGTACGATATTAACAGCTTTGTTCAGATCCGTAAATAATTCAGCACTAGACATACTTTACGAGGTTCTATATTGCTTAGTTGCATACTTCACTTTCTTTGCGGTGATTCTCGACCTGGATTTTGTTTTTGTGATAGCAAACATGGTTTATCCTCTTTTGACAAAATAAGGTTGTTTCAATTAAAACTGTTTTATTTCCCATACTTGCAAAAAGGAAAAAAACCTTGTTTGTTGTAATTTTCCAAAAGGTTTTGTCTCCGTCAGTGATGAATGCCTTACAAGGTGCACCAGAAGGAGATCACTCCATAAAGTGTGACAAAGCATTGAGAGTAACTCTACTAGCTGGTCAGTGGAATTCATCAATGGGGGGTTTGTCTACCATCAATAGACAGTTTGCCATACTTTTGGCCAAACGCACTGAACTGGAAGTCACTCTCTTGGTCCCACAATTTAATTGCTCTGAAGAAGAGAGGAGAGCTGCCCAAAGTCATAAGATTGTCGTCAAAGAAGCAGAGAGACGTCCAGGCTTCGACTCCCTTGACTGGTTGAGCTTCCCGCCGAAAGACCTTATCATTGACGTGGTCGTGGGTCATGGAGCCAGGTTAGGAAAGCAAGCCCAAATCATTAGGGAGTCCCACTGTTGCCAATGGGTACAAGTAGTGCACACTGCACCTGAAGAGCTTGGAATGTTCAAAAACTATCCGAGAGCCATAGCCAGAGGAGAAGAGAAGACTACGACCGAAGTAGACTTGTGCAAATTGGCAAATCTAGTCGTAGCAATAGGACCCAAGTTGACGGAGGCCTACTCAGCCTATCTTCGCTTCAGCGAGAAGCAGCAAGATATCATTTCGTTCACTCCTGGCACATTCAAGGAGTTTTCCACCCTAAAACAAGCTTCAGTTGACTCTGAAAAGTTTAGAGTGTTGACCTTCGGTCGTGGTAATCCAGAGGACTTCAGTCTGAAAGGGTATGATATCGCCGCCAAAGCAGTAGTTGAACTGAAAGACAACTCCTACCATTTGATTTTTGTGGGTGCACCTGACGGAATTCAAGAGGCAGTTACGGAAAATTTGCTACAGAGTGGTATTTCTAAACGTCAGCTGACAGTGAGAAATTTTTTGAAGAGCAAAGAGAAATTGAAAGAGTGTTTTTGCGAGGCTGATCTCTGTATTATGCCATCCCGGACGGAGGGGTTCGGTTTAACCGGGTTGGAAGCCTTGTCCGCTGGTCTTCCCATTCTTATTAGTGGAAACTCGGGTTTCGGAGACACGCTGCGTACTGTGCCCTCCGGGAAATCTTTTGTGGTTGATTCTGACGACCCAAAAGTGTGGGCTGAGGCAATTCTTAATGTCCGTAAGAAGGAGAGATCACAGCGGCTTCGAGAGATTGAACGGCTGAGGACATCTTATGAGGAGCAGTTTAGCTGGGAGAAACAGTGTAACCCTCTTGTTGAGAAGATGTGGGGCAAAGTTCATCGTAAGGGTATGTTACTGTTTTTTATTAGTTACTTTTTGGAGCGTAGTTTTTGTTTAGTAGTATCCCACTTTTCCATTGTCATTGATATGAATACTAAATAGGTCTCTAAAACACAGTATAACAGAGATTGATTAATGTTTGTGTCTATCACCAAAATTTACCCAAAAGGGAAATATATTGACTAAAGTGAGATAGGAAAGGGAAAGGAAGGGACCCCCTCAAAACGTTTGTATCAATACGAAGTTTCGTTATCTGTTTTAAGAGGAGTGTATTCCAAAACGTTAACGCCATTTTTTTAAAGAAAGTTTAGGATAAAGTTATCCATTACTGTGTTACAGGAAAATTTAGAGATTTTTCTATGTGGTTGTTCAAGCATATTTATTCGTTGTTTTCGACATTTTAGCGTTCCCAATTCATGCGAGTTTCTTTGATTGTGATGTTTTAAAAATATAGAAAAGCCACAGTAGTTTTTGGAAATAGATTTTGCACCGTTACTATGTCTTCATTGTGCAGCTGCTTATCGGTGCTTTCCTTGTTCAATTCTTGCGAAATTTTTTAGGTAAATAAAAGTGTTAATGGTCTTTCAGGCAAAATTAGTTCTCATGGTAGTTGGCTGCTGAGTTTATACTCGTAACTTCAATTTCCCTTCTTACGATCAAACTTAACACCAACCTTGCTTAGATAAGCAGAAACTTTTCAATGTATTCTTCATTTTATTTTATAAGCTGCTCTATTGTAATTACCATGGGCATATTTTTAATATCAAAGCTACGAATTCTCACCTAAGTTTCCTATTTTTAATGGCATAATTCTCGGCATGTGAATATTTCAATATAAATCCTTTAGCTTCAAAGAGAAGTTGTCCGTTCTTTTGTAATTCTTATTTAAAACATTGTCAATTTAAAGAACAGTAGAACCACGCGCTCGATAATACTTAAGCAAGCTTTGTTGATTACATCGTTAACATCTGGGACTACCAACTTGAATACGCCAGAGGCCAGTTGTTGGCCTGACCTAAAATAAAAGTGTATTGTGGAACCAGAAGGATGTCTCGTCCTTGACGAGCTCACTCGAAGCAGGTCGCCTGTACTAGGGAATCGTGACGAGTTCCCGTTCTCGCTACCGAGTTGCTCTACAAAGACAGTTGCCCCCGTTATTGTTCTGCCGTCGGAGAATGTTCAGTTTTCGCATGCGAAACTTATCGTCACAACTGGTCTGTCTACGGATAGACCTGCCTGAAAATTTTTCTCTAAACTTTTTAATTCACAAGTCTTCCCTTGTAGTAGTAAGAAGGGCCTTGTTGTTGTCTTTGAGGAGTTTGATTAAATTTTTGTTTTCTTGAAATACGTTTTTCTATGCATGATTCGCAGTTGTATATTTATTGAAACGAAGGATACCTATTGACGAGGAAAGATCCCGTTCGTTTGACGGTAGCGCCCTACATTTAGACTAGATGAGTGTACTAGAGAGACATGATTTTGGGCGGGTGTGACCTTAGGAATAGAGAACTTGTGACCGAGTCAGATTATAGAAATGTTCCACTCAGTTTGCCGTGCTGACTCACAAAGAGTTCCTTAGTGGAGCAACAAAAACTATTAATGGTAAACCCAAAGTTCTCTCATGTGTGTCATAGGTGCAACCTTTCTTGTGAATTATAGTTCATGATCCAATTAAAAAGCGCCGAAGATTATTTTTTCCTAGGGTTCTCTGAAAAAACAATTCAGAATCTTCAGCAGATGCAACTCAGTGAAAGAGGGGTCAACAGCAGCACTAACTCAACAGATGAGTTGAAGAAGATTGTATCAGAGAAGTCCTTCAGAATTTCTGACAACGAAGGTTCAGGAAACTGCATGTTCCATGCTTTGTCAGAACAACTAGAAACCGTCAAAGGAATCAAAATCCAACATGGCCAATTGAGACAATCTTTAGTTAAGTACCTCAGGGAAAACCCAAAGGTGGTGAGTTTCTGTAAGCCTTATACGTAAAGAGAACTAGGGGTGGATCAGCTGTTTTCTCTTTTGTATATTTTTCTCCTCTTATATCTTCAAGCATTGTTTTAGGTTGGCCTGAAAAGTTTTTCTATGTTCGCATATATTCGTGGGTAGAGAGACGGACTTTGACAGTGAGGTGTTCTCTCCTAGAGCTCAATCGATTCAGTCACCACAAGTTTGCACGAAGAACTTGTATCGTGGATTTCAGTGCCTCAAGTAGGAGGCAACTAGGTCTCTCTCTTGAGAATGAAAGGAAATGGTATTCTTTTCTACATTCTCGTCTGATCCAATCGACTATCTGTCGGGCGGAATCTTGGTCGCTTAGAGAAATAATCCTTTTACGGTCAATTATTTGCCGTCAGTTCAGTACGTATCTAAGCTAGGCGTTAATAGTTTTTGAAGACCTGCCTACTGGTGCAAAATATATTAGAGTAGAATATGATTGTTATGATTTTTTATTTAAAACGTTTTTCGCATTTCCCTCACATGGTCTTATTTCATTAAATTGTCATTCTGAGATGTATAATGATATCTATGAACAGCTAAACCTATGCAATAAGTTCTGTGCGCAGCTATCTTTCAACTAATGTGCTTGCAATCAAATAATTTGGATATATCAACAAAGTTGAAATGGTAAATTGGCCACCGTAACGATTACAAAAGCTGACGTTTCGAGCGTTAGCCTTCGTCGGTGCGAATAGAGGAATTGTGGGTTGTGTGTGCTTTTAAAGGCAGAAAACGTAGCTCCATTTTCTGCCTTTAAAAGCACACACAACCCACAATTCCTCTATTCGCTCCGACGAAGGGCTAACGCTCGAAACGTCAGCTTTTGTAATCGTTACGGTGGCCAATTTACCATTTCAACTTTGTTGATATATCCAAATTATTTCGTTACTCCCACCGACGCAGCCCCAAACAGTTTCTTTCGAAACTATCACCCTTTATGCTTGCAATCAAGTTGATGCCAAACTGCAGCTGTCCATTTAGAGGGCCACAAGTTTATTAGTTACTTCAACTATTCCGTGCCACCCTCTCTAAATAAAGTGTTTTATTATTTTATTATTACTTAAGTAATTTTTGTCTTCGTTGCTGCTGTTCGCCCACCACGTTCAAAGTGCTTAAAAGGTAACAATCAATATATTTTTCAATGTAATGAGTTTGATTTTTGGGTTGGAATTCAACTCTTAATTGTCTTTTTAACTGTTTCTTTTTACAGCCGGATGGATCAGATCTGTTTCACTTTGTCCATGGACATGAAACATGGGCTGATTACCTAACATATATGGAACAAGATCGCACCTGGGGAGACCACCTCATTCTCTGTGCAGCAGGAAATTGCTTTAAAACTTGTATTCATGTGCTCAGCAGTCTACACAATGATGTAATCATCTGGCCACATGGTCCTGTTGACGAAAGCAAGCCACTAGTACTGGGACATATTCATGGGGTACACTATGTCAGTCTTCAGCCCACTCAAGGTAAGTAAGGAAAAGCACACGGCACGCCCTTTTAAAAAATGATGAAGATCATTTAACATTCCTTGCGAAATTCCGAAAGCTTCTGTTTCTTGCATACGGCACTTGCTATGACGAAGTTGTAACCCTCGATCTATTATCGGTTTTTTGAATCAGTACGGTGGTTGGTTAGATAATTTTTAGAATCAAGAGTAGTAATGAACTAGGCACTTAGCGTCCTTGCTGACACAATACATCAGTGTCTTAATATCTAGATATGTACCATTCTATCGTTTCAAGAGTCCCGCAAAATCATAAATTAAGTGATAAACTATACCTTCAAGCCTTATTTTTTTGTTTTCTACTATGGTTTTTAGAAATTACAGCAGTGTAACTTGGAGATGATCTTTCATAGTTCTTATTTAAAAGACGGCAATCAAAGAAAATGTGTGGACAGCAAATTATGTATCAATAAATATATATATTATTATCATTATTATTATTATTATCAACTTATCAAGATAAACTATTCTTGTTTACTCAAAAGTTTTTCGGTAGTCAAGCATTGTTTTACAAATTTGAATCAAAACCGTTCGCTTATTACACATCTCTTGTATGAAAACGACATTATATCGATGGAAAAAAGGGAAGATTTCGTGGTAAGCGGACTTCTATCCCACCTCGTTGGTCCGGTTTGTATTCTTGCACCTTGTGTCCTATGTGGGCTGAGTTTGATCGCGCTTCTTCTCTTTTTCCAAGTGATTTGCGCTGAGTGTTTTTCCTAATGTTCTTTGGGTTTTCCCCCTTCCTAATGGACATCCATAATTCCAATTACTGAAATTTTTGATAGGTTACCTTCCTTTTTTTCTAATTGCAGTTTTTGTTGTTTTGTTCATAGACTAAAGGAACGATTTTTAGAAGCTATGGCTGTAAACCGGCGAGACCTCCACGAAGAATCAGATGGCCACTAGTAAAAAAACAGCTGTGAAATTCTAGGATGTCTGTCATGTAAATATGTTTTTGGCTGAAAACGTAAGCTTTAGATGATACACCTTTCCAGAGGTCGTAGGTTGTGCATGTGTATGAGCTTTGTTACGCTGAATAGCTAACGAGTTTTCGTGGTTTGACTATAATTTTTGATGTAAAGCATTGATTTTTATGTCTGGCTGAAAACGCAAGCTTACATGAGATGAAACATAGCTTTTCAGAGGTCGTAGTTTGTTCATTAGTATGGGCTTTGTCACTATGAATGGCTATCGAGCTTTCGTAGTTTGATTAGAATGTTGATGTGAAGCGTTGAATTTTATTATAATTGGAATTTCTATCAATATTTTGTCCGAAAAGGAAACAACATCGCATAAATGTCCTCCCACCCCCTTTCCCCCTTCCCCCTCCATTATTTGAAATAATTGCTAACTATTGGCAATACTTTCCACTAGATACGTTTTGATACTGAATAACCCTAATTTTACCCTTCCCTTCTTGAAAATACTCTGCCAGCAGCTGCTGTTACAGTGGAGAGTTTCAGTCCTCTAATCGTGTTCTATATGTGCATTGAAAGGTTTTAGCCTGATTACAAGGGATGTACCTATTGCAGCCACATCGATTGAGAGTTAAGATAATGAACAATTATACGTCAAAAATTTTGACGAATGATCCATTACTCGGGAGAAGCAAATTTAGTTTAGCATTCGAGTTGAAATGGAACGAAATAAGCAGAGCGTCTTTATTCTTAATGGGAGTAGATAACCGATAGCTTGATTTTTGAAAATCCTTAAAGATATTTCTTAACGTGAAGTTGGTGTTCAAATTTTAAAATACAAGTGTTTGACCTTTGCATTAGTTCCAGCCCAGACTGTGTGGTCTTTTAGCTTCCAAGAATTCTCGCTTCGAATAAATACCACATTCCTTGGAATATATGCTAGCATTGCTACTAGTTTACTTATAGCACCACTAATAAAAATGTGTATCCCGTTGTATCTGATTAGAATCTCAGTAAGAAATTATAGGCTAGGGTAATATGAAACCCTCCCTCCCTCCCTGACTGTACTCTTTCGGCGTTACCGTTACGTTTTTTTCGATTTCAAATTTGGATGTTCCATGTAAACTTTAAGCTTTGTTTAAAATCACGTGATTGGCTACAACTTGTCTCAGTAGGTAAGGTGACCCTCTCAGGCGGAGCAAATTTGCTCATTAAAAGATCTCGGCTCACCAACTCAAGACGAGATTGGTTATCCTTTCCCTCGGTCTGTCATTTTGTTTCATAATTTTCCTGGCGCTTCTGAGAGACTGGTGTATTAAAGGAGACGGCTGTGCAGCCCTTTTCCACCCAGACTCAGGTAATTTAATATCCTGATCCAGGAAAGATAATTTGGTTTTATAAACTGAACTCGAAATTACATGTGTTTTTTGAAAAAAATAAGGCACTAAGAAAATGAAATTTTGATGAATGTACCTCACGATTGAGAATTATACCAACTGTTTGCGGAAACTGCTTATTTGTCCTTCCCTAGCACAACCTTTTAACGTATAAGAAGGTTGCCACATAAAGTCTCTGCAGGAAAACCACAATATAATGAAAATATGGAAGCAACTTGCCGTGCCATCTTGGCAGTTTGACGAGACCGGTTTTGCAAAATTTTGGAAAACTAAGCCGAAATAATAATATAGAAAAACGAAAAACTGAAAAAAATTAGCTGGAGACGCAAGTTTAAAAATTATTCTCAAAAATGCTTTGCTAATTCTGCGATTAGCCTTGCGCGACTTTCCTTCAGCATGGCTGGATAACTCTTCTAGAATGCACGGCATCTTTGTGACACTCTTCCAACCAGCAACTGAAGAGCATTACATCTAGGTATGCCTTATTTGATGGTTTAACATATAATGGGCAGATATTTCGCAAGTTGCGTTGTATTGTTTCAGAGTCCCAAAGGGGCAAGGAAAATACGAGCAATGAGCTCAATGTCGAAAGTTTGGATTGTTCATGAGTCTGGCCATTTTGGTTCTCTGCGTTTTTGTAAAACAACTATGTACTCACGGTGTGGATTAATAAACAGTTGTTTTACTGAACCAGCAAACAACATTCTCTTCCTATGTGTTGAAGTATATAAAACAGAAACATAATCAATCAAGTAAATATGCAATGATTTAATAACTTTCTGGATAGTAATTATGTGAGGTGGAAAGGATCAAGGGCTCTCCCTAAAGCTTTCTCTGTTAATTAATTGTCATAGTTTCTCTTGAAGACAAAAATTTCCTTATTGCCTAGTGGTAAAATGAGGGAGTTGATGTAAGAATTTTAGAAAGCTATGCAAAGTAGATCAGATGCAGTCAAGATTTTGCATAACATTGAAGAATTCTCCTTACTGCCTGAGTGTTTAGATGAGGCTATGGAACACAGAAAAATTTATCTATTGCTATAATAAAATATTTCTAGAAAACACATAAAGTGGGCTGTCAGCACCTTATTGACATGCTCTCATCTAAACACACTCATTAACCAATGACAAGGCACCAGATACATACTATCTCAAATGAATTAAAAATTCAGGATTTAATCTCTGGAAAAACAAGCACATGGCTTGTGGTTATGGTTAACTTGTTAGCCTTAAGTGAACCTGAAAAGGAACCGTTTTTAAGATTGGTTGGAATAGGGATGTCTAATTTTCAAGATTACAGTGACTTTTTAATAAAATAATTTTTATGTGGAACCTAATATATGTAATTATTTTGTTGGTTCTTTGAGATGAATTACAGGTCAAAATGTCTTTATTTCAAATGTTTTTTATTTTGATTTGTAGATGCCTTACTTCCAGATACTTTTCTACTATACTCCTGTAATTAAAAAAAAGAGAAACCGAATTAAACTAATTTGATCAATTTAACTATGACACATTACATTACCACTAGTAGTAATGACATACTTACTAGTGACCATGATCTACATGTATGCTTACCTCAGACCACCAGAGTTGTGTGGTATATACCAGGATGAAGGTGGACTCCTGAAGTTGATAATTCATCAACACACAAGTTAAGTCACAGAGTCACTTATCATTTTGTGAAAGGTATATCGCTTATTCTGTCATTCTTGATAGTCACCGATGGCCTTCAGAATTCCATTGGGGTGTGATGTGATACTCCTGAATAAGTGGAAATGAGAATGATAACTTAATTTTTTGAGGTCCTCTTACCTTAGCATGGATGATTCTGAAAGTTTCTCAACTCAGATTATTACTAAGCAAATCGTTCAACTGGAAAACAAGTCCGTTTCAAGATGTAATTATTAATGAGTTTGAGAATTTTTATCTGCAGCATCACTTAAGTCTCAAAAAGCACCGTTAGTTGATTTAGATTTGATATGAGGTACCTGATGTCCGTAAATTACTTAGTTAGTGGTTTGATAATTGACAAAAATCACTGGTTTTTAGCCAGTCTTTGTTGCGATATTTGCTGGTTGAAAAGCAAAGAGAAACTGCCCTGGCAAGATTGCTTCCTAGGTAAACTGAAGATTATTTGTAAACATTCAACATAATACTTACTTCAAGGCTGTAACGGTTATATTCCAATTTTTAATCCCCTGCAAACATTTTACTGTTTAAGGTTTTAACTTTCCTTTGTTGTTGTTATGTATTATAAAACAGGAAGTTCATCTGTGGGCAAATCGTGCTTGTTTGACAGATATGTTTATGGGCGTTTTTTTTGTTGCCAAGATAATCCCACCGGGAGAGGTGAGATAAACGTTTCACAATGAGTATGCAAGCGATCAAATTATACTTTTGGGAGTTCAGTGATCAAATTCTTAACCAAAATGTAATTTGAGTTTAAATTTGCGTTCATTTTTACTTTTAGATCACTTTGTTTGAAAAGACGTAAGTCTGAGTGGCGGCAGGTTGAGAATGCAACTTCGAGTATGGGACTCCCCTGATTTCGAAATGAGCGGTGGTCTATCTTTTCCTAACCTCTTCCGTGGACTTGTTGGTTTGGTTTTGTATGACATAGCACAGAGATGTACATTTGAGAGCGGAAAAGAGTGGGTTGACAAGTTCTCAGAACGGAGCGAGCCAGATGCCTTTGTAGCACTAGTGGGGAGTAAAGCAGACCTTGAGATCAGACGGGAGGTGTCTTTTGAGGTAATTAATGATGCAAGTAATATAAGATGGTGAAGTGAAGTAGTTTATGAGACCTTTTTAGCAGATTTTTTTATCATGCTATCTTTTCTACGTTTGTGTTTACCTTAGTTAATTTACATTATCAACTCACTTGATAAAACCAAATTATCTTGTAACACCCCGCCGATGTACCATGACAGTTCCCCTTGTCATAAAAAGACAGACTGTACTAGACCTCGTTTAAAAGGTTTTAATTTACAAAAACCTCGTGCCTTTAAAACTTGGCGACTCGACAAAAATCCGCTGACAAGTCTGGATAAACGTCAACAATAGCAATGCAAATTAAGATTAACAGTATCCCGGATTAACGACAAAAATAGCAATGTAAATTAAGCCTAACGGTACTTAAATAATGTTTCTC